CACAGTAAAGAAAGATGTTTTTCGTCTGGTCACGACCGTGGGCAAAGAAAAAGTTCTTAGTTCCCATGAGGAATTGAATCTCAAATGTTCGGATTCCGCGCTCCGATGGTCTATCTTTAGGTCTGATGTTCGATACATCATGAAAACTCAGAATTTTTTTTCTGTCCCACGCTCGTGACAAGACGAAAACATCTTTCTCTATTTCTTTACCGAGCTCAAAACTTACCATCTTTCTTATTCTATCATTCACATTGTCTCGAATGTATTTGAAAATCAGTGCTATTTGCAATATGTCATGCCGTCGTGAGTCACCGTGCATACACGAAATATGGACACGGGAAATGGAAAATAAAGGGACAATTAGAAGAGAGAAGTCCTGAGCTAACTGAGAATCAGTATGGATATGATCGAGAAGAATAACACTCATTGCAAGCGAAAAACTTTTTCAAGATGTACAAACTTTGATGTTGGCTCATTTTAGGCACTAAGCCATTAAAAAAAATTACTGACAAGCCTAACTAGACAGTTCTTCAGAGTTCCATTTCAACACAACCATATTTTTTCTGTCTCTGTTTCTGCGAGGTCGACCCATCGGCCACCCATTACCTCTAACTTCATACTGTTTTACACCTGTCAACACTAAACATGGCAGACGAACATGTGCAGGCGCAAAGCGTGTTCTTTTTCTAAAATGTCGACTACACGCACGCTTAAACTGACCACACAATCGAATGCTCTGAGGTTATTCTAAGGAGGCACTGTCGTCGTTTGCTTTCAGTTTTAAGCAGACTAGGCAATTCACTACTTAATATAGTCATGAACTTAAATATAACTCATTACGTACTATTACTACTTCGGACAGACAAGGCGGTGCTAAATAGCGTTCAAATTAAAAAGGAATGCACTAGTTTTTTCAAAATCGAAGCGATGAAAACTGGATGATAAATGATTACTTGTAATTTTTTCCAGGGCAACCCTTATCGCCTGCCAAATTGGTTTATCATATAATTTTACCTAACTGATTGCCTGTTTTATCATTTTTTTGTTTTTGTTTTTGTTTTTCTTGTCATTAGCTTAATTTTTTACAGCTATTGAGCAGTTCACACAAATAATTGAAGTGGGAGCAGATTCACTGTTTTCATTTTTGATTTATAGTGACTCGGAATTCCTATTTGCAAATATGTTTGCTTCCGTTAAGATTTGGATTAAGTCACCCTCATCCTAGATAGTGAGGCAATGCCAAAGTCTGTGCATCTTAAACAGTCTCATCAAAACTTTTAAGTTTTCCGTTTGCAATGAGATTTAAAACGAGCCACACCTCAGGGTGGTGGCCGAAGACAAAAGTCGCTAGATATCAACTAGCTTACACAGGATGTCTAGCTCAGTGTATTTTCTTGCCAAAGACGGTAGGAAATGTCTTGATCCCGGCGCCTCTAACTCAAAAAACGATCCAGCTGATTCCAATTTTTATCATAAAATTTCAAAGAGCATACCAATGAAACCTTCTGTAAAATGTTTAAAAAATTCTAAAGCGTAAGTTCAGAGCCACCCCATACTAAACGAAAGTTAAGATGGCTCCGAACCGACACAACGTATCCTCTTTGATAACTGTTGCAGGATGAATACAGTGGAACCTCGATTTAATGCCAATGGACTGGAGAAATTGGTTCGTTACATCGAGGGTTCGTTATATCGAGGTTCTGTGACATAAATCAGTTTTACTAGCTGTAACTTTGGTCGGGCCGAAATTTAAGTATCGTTCGTTATACCGAGGACTTTCATGTTATATAGAGGTTCGTTAAATCGAGGTTTCACTGTATCTATAGGCTGATTGCTATTGGACAGTAAAAGACGAGGGTCGCCAGACTTGTTTGTTAGTTGCCGGTATTGTTGCTATAATTAGCCCTTTGAATCCCAGACCTCATTAGTAATACTCTTTACTAATTAAATAATTTTATTGGATGAACTAACTGAATTCCCTAATTAGTTTTTATTTTTAATTCCTATTACTCATGTACTTCATACCGTATTTTGATTTTTTGGGCAGAAATTCTGTCTCACTCGTGGCAGTCAAAGAGTCAAGATTGTTTTAGAGAGGGCGTAGGTTCGCCAAAAAAAATTACTTGCCTTTGGAAAAATACTTCTAATTGGCTTTTGTTGGTTACAAATTTGTATTAAACCATTTTCGTAGCAGCGATTGAACAAATTTGGTTATTCATTCATCAAAGGAGAAGTTTTAATTGCTCTTTTTAGCTTCCTTTGATTCCAAGGCCCCGTTAAATGCTCTCAGACCGTGACGCTCACAGCAGTCTTTTACAATATGTTCTCGAAATCTCCCCTCTAAAATAGAGGCGGAAAGAAGATTTAACCTGGAAACGAAGTTCGTCTGCAATCAAGTGTGGAAGAACGTTTTTTGTGTGGTGATGTTCTTTTTCTATCTCCTTTTTATTAACCATGAAAGTATACTTTTTGGCTTCAGTTCAGAAGGCGCCGGTCCTTCAAAAGCCAATTAACTAAGTGGACAACCTCGCCAGTTAAGATAAATATTTAGTCTCGTTCACTGGTTTTTACAAAGAGGCCGTTCCGTTGGTATTTTGCTACCCCCCGTCAGATTTTGGTGGGCTTACTTTTAGATAAAACCCCAAGAGACATTTTCTGTATCGTAAGCTAATTAAATAATGAACATATTTCAAATTGAATTTCTCTTTCTGGATTTGTGCTTCTGTTTAAGTCTATAATAGTGTTGAACGCCTTTCGGGAACGAACAGCTGCAAGGAGAGTCTTACTTTTCATGATTTTACCATTTGGTTATTCACAAAGGTCGTTATTACTAGCGAGAGAACAGATCTAAATGTAGAGGCGAATAAATGTTGTAATTATAACTTCTACACCAGCCACCGGTGCAATGAACTGCTAACTATTTGTCTGTCACTTTTAGACGGGGTCGATTGCTATACACTAACACATGGCATAGAGAGCCGTTAGAATTAAGATGGATTAGCATTACAGCAATGCCTAGTCGCTTAGTATAGTGTATCTTTGTTGAATGGCACGTAGTATTGGTAAGTATTTTCACAGGCAAATGGCGTGAAGTATAAAGAAAAGAGGTTACACAAGAAAACTGGCAGAACGCAATAAATAAATACCAACTCGTCTTGTAACACGTGGGTGCGAAAGCTAAAAAGAGAGTGAATTCAGTTTTCGTGGCTTGCTCTCAGTGGTGGGAAAGAGACAAAAACCCGGATATCATTTACCACACTCGTTCATGACCTACTTTGCACAAAGTATTTCAAGACACTTAAAATGATTAATAAGCGGAAATTTTAGAGTAAACAACAAATTAGTGACCAAGGTCAACGAAAAAAACGTTTTTTTATAGTATCAAACTTCTTTGACACTGATGCCTTCGCTTTGAGAAGAACCATCTGTTTTAACTCGTACCCAATTTGATGAATACTTTACCGGGCAGAGTCAAATTAGGACATAAAAAGCATTGTATTGATCTTGTTTGGTTCCACAACTTGGTCCAGAGATAAGAGATCCCTTCGCAAATTCATCAAGCTCACAGAGAAACCAGCCACTGGAATCCTATCAAATATTGGCCTCCAGACTGTTAATGACTCTATTGATAACAACTGAATTACATATAATAAACGAGAATACACAGGAAAAAGTTAGTCTGTTACCTCCCGCAAAATTGTCAGTCTTTGCATGGGGTAGCAAAATGAATATCATAGCCCTCATCAAGAGTAAGACATCGATGATTAACGCAGGGGCAATATACCGTTCATCATTGCACGAACCGACATTTGGCTATGGGAGTTTTCTTTCTGAGGACTCGGGATATTGACAGACAGTGTGAGATTCACAACAAATAAGAGCTTCCTTGCCTCCTTCATAACAACACATCGGCACTTCAACTGAAGTTTTAATTAAGTGAGTTTAGATGAACAATGACAAATCCTTGTCTGGAAATGTCATTGCTTTCGGCAGGGGACACTTAGAAAGCGATATGTTTAGTAAATTTTGAACCACTTGAAGCATTTATTGCACAAAAGTAATTAAAAGTCGGTTAGTAACTGCGTTATGAAGCACTCGAGGAGGTGCAAATAGCCTCCAGTTATAAACAGCCCGCAAGCCGAAGCCGCTAACAACAAAGCTTACGAAGCAAATTGGCTGAAAATTAACTCCAGATAGGGAAACCTGTGTAAAGGCTACTGAGAACGCCATTAATCAAACACTGAATTTCAAGGAAACTTTCAAAAGAACGAAGAAAATTGGAAAACGTTTACTGCGCACTTTTTTTTTATCTAAGAATTTTACCATCATAACTGCCGCTCGTGAATTCTTTATTAGCGAAGCATGGGTCATTATAAAGGAGCCAGCCTTTACAGAGTGAGATCTTGGTTAAGCTGCATTCCACAAATTACCAACGCTCACTGTTTAAACCGAGAAAGCTAAGAGTAATTTCGGTGCTTGAAACTTAATTTCTTTTCACGAGACCTCCAGAGGGAGCCGAAGCTCAAAGCGGACCCATGGGTCATAGAATCCTTTGTAAAAAACCGTACCAGATCTTACTCCATTTTAATTTGACGTAGTTATTCTTCACTTTTATTTCATTATCATAACTGATTTAAGAGGAAATATTAGAAAGGTCAGACTATACACCGGCGTTTTCGTTCTGGCCTGGTCCAATTATTTTGCTGATGGGTAAAACAAGTTGCAGTTCTTACTCGAGGTTACATGGCGTTAAACAAGAGACTGAACAAACTGATCAGGAGAAATCTTACACCAGAAATCTTTACACTATCTGGAGTTACACTTTCTTTGGGCAATGGCTTGCATTAAGGAAACTATCTCCGTCTCTTAAATATATTATACATTATTTTAGTTTTAAGCTGAGCTAATGTCATCAGTAACCCTTTTATACATAACGACATAAATCATTTTGAATATTAAGAAGTATACGGCGTAATACGAAGGAAGGAACGACACTTATGACGCGGAAATTGAATTCCTGTCTGATACTATAGAGTATCCGGTCTATTTCGGTTAAAAAATCTTTAATTTTGATCATTTCTTTCCATGAAATTAGCAAACCGTCTGGGAAAATACTGATGTTGGATTTGTCTTCTATGAAAATCCAGCTTTATAAAAAGAAAATGGAGAAACGGTAAAAAACCATTCACTTATCGCTAATTTGATACAAAACTGAGTTCGTTATCCATTGCTATCCCTCTTTTGTTTTTCATTGACCTCTATTTTATTTCGTCGACGTATCATTTATCGTCGACAGTCGTTATGTACACATGTTTCTGTATTTATATTTATCCATCTCGGCAATGCACGTGCAGTTTTTAAATTTGAGATCTGTTCTACGTTGTGGTTTCCTCGGTGAAGAAGCCACGGCTGATGGCAGAACTGGACAGGATCGTATGGTTGATCTTGACCATTTGCTAAGAAATTCGCCTCAGTTGTGTCTTACTACCGAAGCAATCTAACATCAGTTTAGCTTCAGGGGTTCTGGGCATTTGTTACTTCCTCGTCCCTTCCTTCACCGACATCCACATCCATCTACCACCATATCCTGGTAGTTTTTGAGCACCACCTTAGAGTGCTCGTTCACGAAAAGCATACTGATAGGATTTAGTGTCGTAGGCACGCAGCAGGCACGAGGCACAAGGTCCGCGTTTACACTGTTTACAAGGGTCTGTACAATGGCATGATTTGTGGTGTTCAAGTGGTCTGCGATAGGAAAGGGACATTCGCCATTGCAATAAAATGCTGGGTATCCGGGTGGTGCAACGATCCAATCATTCCATCCAACCTCTACAAAGTCAACATATAGAGGCAGCCTTTGACAGTAGGTGCTGTCTTTCGCCAGACGGTTTCCCGTACTCCGTCGACTTCTTCGTTTACGACGGCGATAGACGTGTTGTTTCCCGTCGTGGCTGAACGTGACCAGAAGTGGTTTAGTGTCTTTTGTCGCTCTTTTGTTCGCGCTCATGTGAACATTTGGAGATTCATCAGTGCTGACAAGACGTACCTCAACGCCAAAATTCTCATCGGGATTAAGTGCCCAATGTTGAACTGCAGATTTAATGTCGAAAATTTCTACTCCACGACCAGCCGTTCTCTTTGTGTCTATTAAACGAGTTATAGCCGGATGCCCAGCTGTTTGCGGTAACATGACTTGATGAATGTCCACACGATGCTGTACTACTGGAACAGTTTCGTTAGTGTGGTTCTTTGCGCCTGAAAACGTCAAACGAAGTTCTGCTGCCGTCAAGGTTTCTTGACTGGGAAGGGAGCGTACGTCGAAGAAGAGGTTCCATCCGTTTGAGGCCAATCCTGCCACTGGAACAGGCAGATGGTCACCTTTTGAACAAACAAAAATAAACAGAGTTAACACTTGTTTTCGCATAGGGAACACAGCCGGTGGGAAACACTCGTAACACTGCATTGGTCCTTGATATGTCACGTTTACAAAGGACAGGTTGCCAACCTAAATATTCTATCTCTAGTACCAAATTATGATCCACTCACCATCATGATCAAATGCCCGGATGGTATTGGCAAAGGTCCATTTTCCCTTGTTTCTAAAATTGGTAGAAATCCATTCTGGATCACTGATGTGATTGTGATACAAGTCGAACATATACTGAGGTACTTTGTCTTTTTCTCCTTTTCTCAGTCTGGGGCGAGATTGTAAACCCATCTTTTGCAACATGGCTTGTTCTGCTCCTTTGAATAATTCCGAACGCTGGTTGTCCGCAGAATGACCCAAAGAGAGGGATCGTACTTCTAAGCATATCGTTGCTCCAAAGAGTAAACACCACATCTGAGCGATCAACATCTTTCGTTCCTAGCACGAACTCCTTGAGAGAACAGGAAACGATCTATATGAGTCAATGGCTTAGGCGATTGAATTTTACGTTATCTAAATTTCGTCTTTACATAAGTGTTTCCCAAAGATTACAAGGATTAAGTGGCATTGGATGCTCAAGAATTATGACTTCCCGCATCCGCTCGTAACTTATCTATATACAGCTTTACCACGTAATCTGTCCGATTTCATCGAATAAAGTTACGATTGAAACTCGTCGGGTAGATTTTACCTGAATTAATTAAGTGATATTCTTAACAACAGACGGTTCTCTGCGCACTCGCCCTGTTGTTCCACAGACAAATTCCCACAGATCCCTAATCTCTGAATTCACAACGATTTAAGGTAAAAATCGAAGCACTTATATTGTATCACAGGAAGGCAAATTAAATAACTGCCGTATCACGTTCCAATATTTGCTTTCTTTCCATAAAAAGCCCCACGGCGTATGTTGACCCCCGGAATGAGGATCATAGGGTCACTAGTTGAAGCTGCGAAGTGATTTAACAACACTCAACACCAAGCACGATCCCTTGCTACAACTGTTGTAACCAAATTTATAAACAACACACGCAAAGACAATCGCACTGCCCAGGTGCGCCACAATGTAAAGAATTCATCAAAAACATTCAGTGCCGACACGATCTGTCTTCGGAAGTGGAAATGACAAGATCCTTGACGAATAACACGCCTTGTAATACAACAGAAGTTCGACGCCCGTGTTGGCGAACGTTTTATCTCGCTATATTAAAGCCAGTTTTTCAATGGAGCTTAAGCTTAGTAAACGCGGGTCCCTTGAACGCTCTTCACAGCAGCTATCTGAACTTATAAACAGCAGCCGTTCTAGAACAAAAGGCTATAAGTATAGCTGCTCTGTAGGAGGTCTATTTATACTTTTCAAAACGGAAGTTACCCAATAATTACATAGGCTATTAAAACTGAATTAAATGGATTCTTAAGAGCCGCTAGGGCTATAAAAAGGTGTGAAGTGAGAACCCAATTATTGTCATTCTCACGATAACCAAAAATTTCCGTTTTCTAAACCCCTCTCAAGAGGATAATCAATTCGACCTCGCTGTTGACTGGCGTTAAGCTGTATACGGTACGCCGAAAACAAAACTGGTGACCAAAACTGAGTGGGAACGTTCACTCTGAGGGTATGACCAAGAATAGCTCGTAGTTGAGTTAAAACCCACTCAGACTTATTTTCGTTTCGCTCTTATCACGTAATCGTTTAGATCAAGATTAATTCCTTGAAGCAAGTATCATTACTGTAAAATTAACAGCTTTTGTAGTAATTAATAAGTGCATAGTGACAAGATACTTGTTTTGGAAAGCTATTTACACGAAGCTTTGTTTGCAAGTAAAAGCTTCTTTCACAGCGTTGTCACTTTACTGTCGTTTTCTGACAGTTTCAATGGCAAAGAGGGGATCGTTCGACAGATGAAACAAACTACCTGTGACAGCTTTTAAAACAATATCTGTTCAAAGACAATCAGAGGCTCTAACGCAATATACTTCTCTCTTAAATTCTTAAATCTTATGCTCACGATACAATATAGAGGTGATATAAATACAGCATCAGGCAGATACAATGAGACAATTATTGAGTTCGTTAACGATACACGGAATCAAATGCGTTTACAAACTGCCGTGAAGATGTCCTCAAGAAGTTATCTAGCTTATAAATGGTGGTCAAATCTCTAAAAGGCTCTGTTCAAGAGCCAAACTGCAAGTACCAAGCGGTGAATGTTGTGCACATAGATACTCCTCAACTGAGCCCTTCAGAAGTGGAACAAAATTAAATCTGATCCATTTAGTCGGCCGCACGGCGTGGCAATAGATTCAAATGACGGTAATTAACCTGAAGACTTCACTGATCTCAAACGATTGCTGAAAACCGCATGGAGGGTACACCTGTATATACTCGAAAGTGACGTGTGGTCACCAGTCAAAGTTTATACAATTTGAGCGAGGCCTTTGGCCGGAATTCTTTACACGTGTTTATCTATCTACGGTGCCTACATCATTCCTTAAGCTTGAAAATCCAAACAGTCAGAGTGAATAATACTTACGAAAATCTGTAATAAAAGTAAAGATAAATCGAAGGAATATCTTTCTATGTCATATTATTGTCGTAATCTATATACTTTGCTACGAAATTTCTGCCCTTCAGTCTGATGATAGAATTACGGAGTATTAGTAACATCCAAATACTTTACATTTTCGGTGGAAGTCGGACAACAAAGCACCGAAGAAAAACGTGAAAGTGCCGAGCCGATCTATGCGATTGATAATGGTGCACCATGCTGAAGAATTTGATGCCGAAAGATTTCCGAAACTGCCCCCCTCAAAACTACAAATTCTTCGTGCTTCTGTAGCGTTGGTGATAAAATGCGGAGGAAGCTTCTATAAAATTGCAACCTGACTTATCTTTTCGCCAGTTTTCGAGGACAAAAAGATCTGATTAGAAGTGTCTTCCTCGCAGACTGGTAAACTGGTCTTACTTCAGTCTTTGTGCTAACATGACTAAAATGATCTAAAGGAACATTTGTCTCATCTATGAGACTTCAACTCCAAAAACTATACTTGAAATTCTTGAAATAAATGCTAATTTATACATCTAAGGAAATTGAAAAGACCAAAATAACCAAGGAATCCACTCTCGTTTTGATTACGCGAGCGTTAGACCAAGGAATTGGGAGCCAGGATTTTCAGCTCAACTTTAAAAACGCGGCCCACGTACAAAAGTTGTCTTAGCACATGTACGTGCTGGGAGTCTTGTCAGTATCATGATCCTAGCTGCTACAGTTTAGTCCACCCACACAAAGACGCCAGAAAACAAATGCTTACAAGAAACGTTTCTTGCATTATGTTGAGTTCAGTACACACTATGTGATAATGACATTTCTGTCGTAAAATGCCGTCAAAGCCACGCGAAATTATTTCAACTGCGCTATCTTAGCTTGGCTCGAGAAAGAATGACCTTGCCGGATCAAGAAACTTCCTTTTGCCTTTAATAACCTCGCAGCATCGGAATCTCGTACAGATTGTGACCTAAGAACAGCGTTGAAGAAAATTCAGGTGTCTAATCTTACCGTAAACTGGGTAATTGGGCTGCCCAAACAACACGGCGACTCAACTTCCAAGCCTAGTTAACTTTGTCTTCCAGATTGATTTGGAACAAAGCAACTAATTTACAATTATTCGACAACACAAACACGCTGGGGGCCGAAAAGATCTGTCAGGTGAACTTAGGCAAACAATTGCATTCAACGTACAAAAGTATTCTTTACACATGCAACACACAGACGGATCGTTTAATTAAAGGCTGCAGGATTGTCATTTGCCGTCAGGAGGGGTCAGGAATCATGACATTCAAAGTTTGCCATTAACACGCATTTATTATATTTCCTGTTTCAGGCTCGAGAGTTCTTGTGAAAACTATTTTTTAACAACAACGGTGATTGGTCTTTTAGCAAATCTGAACACGTTAGCAAAATTTGAAACCGATAGTTCTTAACAACTTCACTATAAAGATCTATGAACTGAAAGACTTTTACCTCTTCAAAGTAATGAGTAGCGTTTTGATCGCACTACCAAGGAATCAGACACGGTAATTTCTCAAGGGAACACCAAAATTGAATGAATAAAAAGCATAGAATTACTTAGGCAAGGGTTCGCCAGCTGTATTAGTAGCAGCTAGAGTATCTAGGTAAAGAAACATCTTTGGAAAGAAAGGTGAGAGAGGTTCCCAGAAACTCAAGGTATCTGCCAAAGATCTTCACAGAACCCGTCCCTTTGTTTTTCACATTTAATACAGGAATTAGCTTATAATTACACATTGTTTAGCCGTAGGTCTGCACAAGCCCCCACGAAGGTCTTATCCTCTGGGAATTACTCGTGAACTAATCACAGGCCTCTCTCGAAACGAGCCTGATTCAACACCAAGGAGAAAAGAAATGGCAATACACAATGCCTTTGCATAGTTAAAGTGAAAAAAAAAATACAGCATAAACAAAAGAATGAAAGACAATATACTTTCAAAACAACAGGGGAAACCCGCAATAAATTCCACATCTTACTTTCAGAAAGCGAAAACCTCTAATTATACAAAACTTGTGGATGCAACATTTATGTTTCCTCTCGTAAACTTGCCGAACTACGAGGCTTGAATATCGATAACAGCACCGTGTTACAATATAACCTGAAGGTATAATTTATGCCAACGTACATCAAGAGATGTTATGCAATTCACTGCTTATATCTCTTTCAAAATAATACTAATAGTTCTCCATGATCTTGACCCCTCTTTGACAAAATCAGTTCCCCAACACACGTGATGATCGAAGGTCATGTTTCAGCACGTCAGAGGAAAATAAATAAGTCTTAATTGGTAGACCATGGCCGCATAAGAAAATGTCTTCCAGGGGTTTTCTAAAATGAGATAATTTGGTTTCATCAACTGCATGAGTTGTTAATGTAAATTAGCCTTACTAATGAGCTTCTAAAGCTTACGTTTCGAGCGTTAGCCCTTCGTCAGAGCGAGTTTCAGTTCTAAATGAGTTTTGCACAGGTAGTTTTTTTCGGTTTTCCGATTTGTTAGTGATCAAAATCTTGCAGTAATAACGCGAAGCAGTGAAAGTTTCATTGATTTTTTTTTTATTCCACGGGTCGCTAAAGATGTTAGAGTAAGCAATGCAAATCCAGAAGTAATTACATTTGTCAATGTTTTCAACTAAAATAGAGTCACCAGTTGGAGCGTACTGTCAATGTTCGGCAAATAACGTTACGAATGTTTACAGCTTTTGGCTCTCTTTTACATGAATGCACGAAACGATCGTTATCCACAAAGACGGAGAAAGCTTGAAATACAGATCAGATAAAAATTGATCCGCTTCATTCATTGGTCGAAATCGTGTTGATTTTATGAGCCCTTTCAAGAGAAAACGTGCCACCTCTCGAGCTGATATCATTCGATATTTCCTCTTC